TGAAAACATTCTTAACTGTCAGAGATCATCTGTGCAATCGATACTGCGGCGGTAGTCACACGATTACGACTCCACAGCAGAGAGTAATGCGAGTGGGCCATTTCCTCACTCAGTGGGGACCGGAAATAATTCAGCTGACTGAAGGGATGATAAAGGGAACGGATGGTAGAATGTACAAAAGTCGGCGTATGCCAGAAAAAATCGACGTTTGTGGGCCTACATACTGCGACTTGCCATCGGTAATAGTTCATTGTCTATGCACTTTCCAGCTTCGAAAAATAATGGAAGATAATTGGATTTCAGGACAGACAGTCGGCAATTTCCGTGAACTCCTCTATACCACCGCATAAACTGCCTCCTGAGAAAATGATGTCTCCTACTACAAGTAGAACGAATAGACATTTTTATTTTGTTTTCTTTCAAAACAATTTTCTTATTACATCTATTATATGTGTCTATTATATTAAATCCACATGTGTCTATTATATTAAATACACATCCGTGTATTTAAATATAAAATAATTGGTTGCTTTATTTTTTTATTTTCTTATGTATATTTTAACAATGGAAAGGAGTAAAGAGGTTCATTCTAAATAAAGATGAAAACATTTTCGCGCGAAAAAAAATTCATCTTTTGAACAAATTATAATAACACTGATATAATTTCGAAAGGGGGAAAACGAAACGTGCCTATGAAGAGGAGACCTCGGGAAATGGCCAAAGAAGTGATAGAAGAGGTAAATAAATTGGAAAGTTTAAAAAAAAAATAGATTTTACAATAGAAACAAAGAAAAATAAGATAAATAGAATACTTTACATCATACGCTACATATTATTCTATGTCTTCTATTATGTAGTCTTGAACTTTTGACTATGAGAATATTTAGCATATTAATCCAATACAAAAAAGATATCTCGTTCACGGAATCAATACTTCAACGATTGTTGACAAAATATTTCGACGATTGTTTTTTTCATTTGTAGACATTATTTAAAAGAAACATTGATCCATCCATCCATTTCACTTTTTAATAAATGAAAATAATATTTAAATTGTTTCATTTATAGCTTGCAGAAACAACTGCAACGGAGGGAGACGATCAGGAGTCCATTGGTCCAATCGATGCATTGATGTCCGATCGTATTATTCGTTACACGGATGACGATGAGATTGGGGAGCAAGATCTTTAAATAGAAATCTGAGTAAACATCTAAATACATTTTCCATGAAATCATTGATTCAAAATTTTCTAATCATCTTATCCTAATCTGAAGCAAATTGATCATCTGAATAATATAAGGTATAGTATAATAAAAATGTAAAAAAATATAAAATATCGAAGAAACTACACACATATATCTAAATCTGTTTATTAATTTTTATAAGAAAAAAATTGAAAAAATTGAAAAAATTGAAATTATCGAAATCTAAGACATCTTCTCCTTTTCATTCACATATAATAAATTTATTAATAAATATCAACAAATAATCGATAGATTAGGAAAACAAAAAACTAGTGTTTTATTAAATGTTTTATTATTAAGAGGGAATTTCGGAGTACACAAGACTATCTAGTGAAGTCGATTTGGAACATCGGTGGTCTGCTAGAAATAAAAATACCACGCATCATAATGACCACACTAGATCGCTTTTCGTTTATTGCACATCACACACCGTTCGAAAACCGTTTACATAAAGGGTGTACACAGCGCTCGAATAGTCTCTTATAATAATATTGGACTCGTCTTCCATTTTCCATTCGATCATTTTCCATCTTGACGTTCGATCACACCTTCCTACAAACGACTATGCGCTAGTGTTTCTTGTAATAATAATACAATATTTATGTATACGTGTAATGATGTATACATTTGGGGCTAGATTCTACTTCATATAAATTTCAAGGTACAGGAAGTATCTACAAGTATCTACCACATAATTTACGACTGCCTTGTTCTTGTTTTTTTTTTCTTTTTTTTTTTTCTTTTTTTCCTCCCCTTTTATTCATTTTGGTGAACGGCGTTTTTTTTTTCTTTAATCTACGTCTGCTAAATATACCTAACAATAATAAGATTACCATAGATTACCTCACTATGATCTTAAAATCAACGGTATACACGGAATCATGACAGTAAGATCATTGGCTTATAACGACACAATGCAATAAATAGAATGCCAAATAAATATACGTACAGATAGATTATACTTATTTTTTTTTTCCCCCTCCTCGATAATAATCCATTAAAGGATTGGGAACAATATAATGTCTTAAATATTAACATGGATATGCATTATCGATTACAGTTAATAATACTGGCAGCTTAAAGTACAATGTGTATGTATTACACTCAACCTAATCGAAAAAAGGAATGGTAGAGAGTGCCAAATATACATACATTTGATAATTATTCGTTTGCAATTTTACTTAATGAAATAAATACACTGGTATCGCGTATTCCATCGAAATCAACAAATTGGAATGGAATATATCTAACGATAAGAAAATAATAATACCTAGGAGAAATCGTATCTAAGATTATTGCAGGCATCATGGCACTCGTCTACGTATGATGTGGTCTCTAGATTATGTCTAATCGATGACGAAGTACATAAAATATTTGGTTACGTGCCACCACAGACTCAATCGACCAACAAAAGAAGAAAACTCGTTCACAACCGTATGCGAATCGAATCCTAATTTCGAAATAATTATTGTAACACCACGGACGTCTCTCGTGTCGCGTTCGTTAGAAACACGTCGTTGCTGATTACCCAATTACAATATCGACTTAAAAATTATCGTTATCGTTAATTTTATTACGCTATCGTTATTATTAATTATTATTATTATTATTATTAAATTATTATTATTGTTATTATTAAATTATTATTATTGTTATTATTATTATTATTATTATTATTATTATTATTATTATTATTATTATCGTATTATCATAATCGTACGTACGAGAATATTGCACAGCGACCAACAGACAATGGATAAAGGGAACTAAGTAACAGATCACAGGTGAAACTAGGCTATCTCTGTAACAAATTCAATATCACATGAAAAAATATGTATCGGTTGCCACCTATCGCAAAAATCTCCCAAAAATAAGAGACTGTCGGACGGATGACTCGAGTGACGAGCCATCGATGGTTCGGATTGGCTGACCTCGATCATCTTTATTCACTTTTCTTCACCGGTCAGTCCGGACGAAAAAATATCATCATCATTATCATTATGCTCACGTCCATTCTTCCCTCGATTCTTCTCGATTAGAATATTACCAACGTAAAGCAATTGTCAGATCAATTTACCGGTCTGAGCCTAATCGCTTATCAATGGCGACGAATATAACTAAAAATCTCGATTAAATGATTAGACGATTAGCAGTAAACTTTGGCAAACTTTGAACCGCGGTTGTGGAACCACGTTACTTCGTCCATTCTTCCTTTTACTCCTTCCTCCCTGTCTTTCCTCGCACGAACGAAAACGCGACTTAACTCTTTTCTTTGGCTTCCAGCTCTTCGGCAGTGGCCACGTGGCACCGCCAATTACGTGTGTATCTAATTCTAAAGCACGTATTACCTTTTCCTAGATTATCGTAATACGACAACTCTGATCCCATTGATAAGTTTCTTACAAGAAACTCGTGGCTTCGCCACGAGCACAAGGAACAACCATTTTTTTTTTTTTTTTTTTGTAAAGCTCTTACGGTGCTTCCACGAACTCTTCTCTCTTTCCGTCGCATGATATATCATTCTATGTCATCGACACTCGTCTAACTCTCTTATATTTATACACATAAACGTTATATACCTTCTTTTAAAATCATTCTGGAAAAAACCAGACTTTCCTTTGTTACAATCTTCGTCTTTACGCGATCTTTAACTTCTATTAACTCCTATGCAAGCCATTTTAATCGAATGAAATTGTTGATCCATTTCGCGAAAATAAAGAGACATTTCTCTTTCACAGAGAAAGGTAGATTTGCGCGATGCTTTTTTTGGGGGGGAGGGGAAGACGATTCTGAATGAAACGATCATCGAATATCCGATCTTTGAACGCTCGTTTCGAATATAAAAATGTTCTCTTTCTTTTATAATAATCTTCGTTCGTTATGGAATAACGAAAGATCGAATATCGGAATAAAATATCGTCGAAGCGTCGCAATTTAATATTTCAGGACAACTAATCCATCTCGTGGCTAATAAAGCTATAGTGTGGAGTTATTTAAACGAAGACGATTAATTTCAAAGTCATCTGCTAAATCTACGAAAAATTTTTCGCTGATTACAAGTTTTGTACTGTGTTATTCCCGTGAATAGTTTCATCTTTCTCGATCGATTCGATCGTTGTCCTTTTCATTTTCCCTCTCGATCCATCTCGGAAGCTCGAAAAAATTAACAGCCTCGAATTGGAACGCGAGACTGGAATGGAAATTTTAATGGAAGTGCCAAATCGTCGTTCTAGTTTTTAATCGTTCTAATTCCGTTACTATATATGAAATGAAAATTAATCTTAATAAATCTACGAATAAGTAATCTGCATATAAATTATGAAATTATTAGAATTCTTCTTATACTATTGTAAAAAAAACAAAAACAATGATAATTTTAGAAAAAATATTTAAAAAATTTTTAAATTTCAGTATGTTTTTTTTTAATCCATTTCATTTTTTGAAAACACACACACGATTAATGAGATTATCAAAATAAATAGAATGAATATTTTATATATTTTAGATATTAAATTTTATATCGTTGATAAATCGGTATTACTTGTATCAATATGGACGTAAGGTTAATTGAATTCTCTTTTAAAAACAGAGCTAGAACACTATCAAAACCTAGAACGACAAAGTGTCTTATCTGTATTCTAGATTTCTTGTAGAATATCATTCTCCACGCGCAAGAAACATTTTCTTTTATATACCTACCATCTCTTTCCCTCTTATAAATAACTTTCGGAGTACTGTTCAGGTTTTTTTTTGAGTAATTTTCGTGGGTAAAAGGATATCAAAAAGTGGGAAGCGCCTTAAACAGCGCTACGATAGATGCGCTACAAAAGCTGAGCTATGACTGGATGTAGAAGACACATGTGTTCGGCGCCACGTATCGGAAGACGGTTCACGCTGAAGTGACGAACCATTTCCGGTATACTGTCGAACGGTTTGCTAAATTGACCCAGGATATACGCGTTTAACTCTTCATTTTTTTGGATACGCATGTGCATGAAACCGCGAGCACTCCTGAAAATGAAAACATTTGTTTAAATATTTATGCCAAATTTTTGTAATAATTTAAATTTTTCATCTATATTCAGTTTAGAGTTTGTCGGAGACTTTGTTAATAAAAAAAGAAAAGAATAGAATAGAACAATTTTTTCTTAATATAAATATGCAATTTGCATAATCTCGAATAATTTTTAAAATTCAAAGAATTTCTCAATTGTTTAATTTAATTTAGGTATCGCGTTAAAAAATAAATGAAATTACATAAAAAGAAAAATCATCAATTTAAATATTCACTTACTTTAACGATAAAGAATAATCTTGTTTGGTCGATTCGCTGTTCCTCACCAAATAACTTCCTTCTCTCAGAAGTCGTAGGACAGCTTCCGCCTCGATCCTTGTGATGGATCCGTGGTACCACCTGCGAGAAGAGACAGCAAACAAAAAAAAAAAAAAACATCCTTGATTATCCAATCAACCAACGATATTTCTCAAACGAAAAAAATCTCTTCATAAATTTTTCAACGCAAGATCCTGGATCCTCAAAAAAAGGCTTCACTAGAACTAACAATTACATCACTAAACGAGTAATAATTCTCCATACACAGAATTAAACGTATAATAAAAATTCTCAAAAAAGGAAAAAAAATCTCTTCCTAAAATTTTATTCGTGTTCAACAAAATCTTTCACCGGAAGGATTTGCGAAAAAAAGGCACAGTGCAAAAATTATACGGGAGACAAGGACGCACCCTTGTCTCTCCAGGGGAAGGCCCACGTCGACCAGATCAGCGGATCCGCGGGCGGTGTTAATCTCGAGTGGCAATCCAAGGCTGAGCCCCCCTGGTTTTTTAGGTGGAAGTTGACCGCTGTTTCCACAGTTCCCAGTCCCGTTCCCAGCGTCCAGATTCAGTGTCATCTTCGGACGCGCCAGTCCGCCGCCTGAAATGAGTCACGCGACAGTTAGACGCCGTGAAATTCCCCGGGGTAAACATCGATTATACGCGACGCGGTAGACGGAGGAAACCTCCCCTCCCCTCCTCTCACAGATTTTATGGCATCCCTCCGCGTAATTGGAACAAATCGAACCTCGGCTCTCGCGAAGATTCACGACGACAGGAAGTAAATTCCCCGGTCGATACGCTATAATGACTGCGCTTGTTGTTGTGTACAGTCGGTTGGAGTGTGGACTGATTATGAGAGAGTGAAATCGTTTCGAGGAAGATTTCGTGAAAGGTTTTTTTTTTTATTATTTGTGGCCATTGAGCGAGGAGATGGATAGCTTTATGATGATAGACGAGTGTATTCCGAGTTTTAGGATAGATAATTGATGGTGGAACTTTATTGTTTTATAAAATATAATTTACAAAATAAATAAAAAATTAATTCATTGAATATTAGGGAATATTAGAGAAATATAATATTTCCAAAATTATTTTTAAATTTGTGAAGAGATTATTTGTATGTATTATAATAATTTTATATTATTTTATAAAGTCCTACAATCTAATCGCAAAAATATAGTAAAAACACAAAATATAAGAATAATTTATCTATTCCTCTTTTAAAAGAAGAAATAAATTTAAAAAAAATGATCGAATTAATAATTTCCAAAAGGAACATTATTAATCAAGTTTTTATTTTTGAATGGACGCTGGAATAGATTCTATAGACAGGACGTAACCGTGTCATCAATAAACCGTGCCTCTCAAAGAGCGAAGACTCGATAATCCCCGGCAAGAAATACTTTCTTCGAAGTGGAACAATCGACCGTGACTTTGGATTCTGCATTGTCGAGGTATGATAATGGAACGTCTGTTCTACGGATAGATCGTGCGCTTTCACTTGGCGGAAACAATACAATCGAAATTCCTTTCTTGAATTTTTTTCCTCTTCCTCCTACGCCCATCTAAGCAAGATTTCCATCGATTGTCGGAAAGTTTTCACCCTGCCACCACTTAAGATTCACGCGCAAATTACGAGCATTGTCTCCTGGTAAACAATGTAGCTCGAGATACAAGAGACAAGATATCTCCACCTTCCTCCTCGTGAATGCCGGCTACTATTCGATTGAAGTCGTCAGGTATTACGCTTATTAAAGGTTCCACGAAATTAGACGAGGAGAAGAGAAATTGCGATTCCATTGAGGGGGAATGAGCGTGAGGATAAATAGACGTTTATGAAAATGAAATCAAGATATGATTCATTGTGTGTCAGCTTTGTCTTACTTTAATTATGTTACATTTAAATGAACGGGGAATGTATTAAGTACATTTAGAATATGGTCCTTTGATTAAATGTCATGTTGAAAATGTTTTAAAATTGTATCAACTGCGACAAATAAATTTTGATTAGTCTGTCTAAAATAATTATATTAGAAGATATATTAGGACAGAAATTATTTTTCAAGTTACATCCAACTCGTTGATAACAATTATTTGACCAAAGAAAATTCGTATTCTTACCAAAATGTAAAAGTAAAAAACTTCAAATTCGTCATTCTGTCAAAGAAATATAATAGCCATAATCACAAAAATATAATTACAATCTATAATTTTTTTCGTATTTTCTCCAAAAAGATTATCAAATCACTAACCACCCAATCAATCCAAATTCATCAGATATAAATTACATTTAATAGAAACATATCCTTCCCTTCCCCCAACGATATTGATCAACAACGACCAATCCTATCCTCCACAACGACGAAAAACATCCCTTCCCGCTTTATCAAGAATTTATAAATTTCGCTAAGTAAATTCTTCCGGGAGTTTCCCATCGGGGGTTAGCGTCAATGTTATTACAGTCTCTCTCGTGAAAGTTCGAGAGATGATAATCGAGAGAGGGTCCAAGGATCGTGGGCCAAGAAAGTGAGCGCGCTTGGTAATTTCATTTGTCGGGGTGGGCACAATCTCTTAGCGGTCAGACTTTTCCAAGGTTGGTTGCATGATCCAGGTACGATGGGATTGCTCTGACAGGTGTAACACCGTGTTAGCCACGATCGAAGCTAATGCATCACGACCGTTTCGAACGATCGCTCGGAAAGATATTCTCTATACATTATGGATGAGCTTGTACGGTCGGAGGTTTAGAACGTTAACAATATCGTTTGATGTTGCGCAATAAATCTTTCAAGTTGCTCGCATTTTCTTTTCCTCTTACGATTGATTTGTCGTGTGTTAATTAAGTAATTAAGTAATTGGTTTGTTGGTATAATGCTTATGTCCATTTTTTAAATTTTTAAATTTGGTGTGCAACAAATTCTTTAAGTACTTTTTTGCGAGGCATGAAAATTATATTTGTATCGTTATTTTTGTGAAATATGGTTTTGAAAGGATAAAATTATTCATTGAATTTATAAATTTATTTTTCTTAAAAATAATAGAAAGGATGTTGATGAAGATTGAAAAACAATTTTTAATAAGTATACTGTCAATAATTTTCTTCTTCTTTCTGTAAGAAATTATTTTCAAATTCTTACACGTGGGTTTGATTTTCTAATTCTAATTACGTGTTTAAAAATTTCTAAATATTAGAATTTACAAAGTTTCTTATATTTTATTTCACGAAATAATTGATTGAAGTAAAAAGTAAAAATTCTAGTTTTCAGAAGAGAATCTAAATATTAAATTGATTACCTGCAAATTTTAAAATTGATACGATTCATTATTCCAATAACGACTTGGATAATGGATAGACCTTTAAAGATAAAATTACAAAGAACATCTTACGAAAGAATGGGATGGAGGGAGAAAGAAGTATAATAGGATCATCATGACCTCATCTTATCGATTTAGAATCCATGACATAGAAATGTGTCTTAATTTTATCTAATCTCCAGAAATGTCAAAGAAGAAATTTATAAGTTGAATAACTGATTCATAAAATAAAAAAATTAAAAGATTAAATATTAATATTGATCCAATAATATTTCAACTCGAAGAACGAGATGTTCTTCTTCATGTTTTCATCGCCATTAGATTTCTCAGACAATTGGCAGATACAGAATTCGAGAGCAAGGGAGCTCGATTCGATTGAATTATTCACTCGACATAAATCGTTTTCGTACACGCAACAGCGAAAGAAACTTTCGAAAGGCCGCATCCACGCGGTCTTCCGGTTCATCTAACACGGCGTGCGTTTCAAGCATAGTTAAACATTAACGAAAAGAAGGCAGCTACCTACTACTCTCCGAGATTGGCCGTATCTCTATTATTAAATTTAATCCGGTTGTTCGGACAACTCGATTTATTTGTACGAATTTCTCTCTACCCTTTTCTGCTATCACATCGAATGGAATTTTGTGTTCCCCTGTATCCAACACTGTATCGTGAACTTTTATTTTCATATAAGTCCATCAGTTATCAATATAATAATTGTATTATATATATATATATTTATTAATACCTCATAATCCATATGGTTCATATTTATATTTTCAGAATTAAAATTGAGAATTAATAATATATTTCTGAACATCGATTGGAAAACTATAAAACGACGAAAGATTACTCTTTACAGTTAAAATAATGCAGACGAAGGAACTCTATAATTGCGGATGGCCCATTTCCAACAATCCAAGCGCAACCAAATTTATCCGCAGTTCGACTTCAACAATTCGGTCCAAACGACCGAGCACGACCAAAAGTCCATCTTAAACCACAAACACGCGTTCCCCAGAGATTAATCGTTATCCTTCTTACACCCACAATTTTTGCCCCTCCTCCTTCTTTTCAGGAAATTCTTCTCTTGACACCCGTACGCTTATTTTCTCGTTTCCTTCGCAGACTGTTTTAATATCCGTCTCAGACGGAGATACGTCTCAATCAATTTCTTCGCGGTGCTCCTCCATCCTCCAGGAGGCATTCCCTCGGGAAATGCGAGGAGAGCCGCGAGTGCGTGAGCTAAGAATACGCCCTCGGTATGCGAATAAGTGTCTTCGTTATTTGTACGCGGAGGACGTGTCGCGATATGGAACGAGAGACTTTTGGAAATTTGTTATATCAAGGCGAAAATTCTTGGATGAAACGAAGGAAATTGGAAAGTCTTTCCACGAACGTTTTGCTGGAATAATTTATCTAGATGTAGAGAAATATAAAGAAGTGATAGTATTTGACAATGGAGAATTGCTGAGAAGAATTGAATGAATAAGTGGAAAGGCGAGATGAATTTAATAAAAAGTTATAATTGAGTCATAATGATTCACGAAGATTAATTTTAAGAAAATTTTATGTGAGTATGTAGAGATTTTCATTCAAATCAGAATTTTCGGATTGGATAATTGTTATTACATTATTTCATTCGTGTAATATTTTTTTTTATCTTCTTATCTGCAGAAAAAAAATACAGAAATTTTTAATTACAATAATCTAGAGAAATATTCGTACATTAATAAAAAAAACCATATATAACTTTTATTCATAACATATAATTTTGCAATAAAATTTTATATCATTCTCTTCTAATGGGATAACAATATAAACACATTACAATACATTTACGAAATACAATACATTTTACGAAACATTCTCCGTTTTATGGAATAAAATAAAAGAATTTCTTTCTTCTAAAAGAAATTCAAAACAGAAAAAAAGAACTGTATACAAGTTCCTCGCTCAACCAATTCCACGAAACAAAACAAAATAACTCCAATCACGAAACCCTCGAAACTATGCTCATCAAATCTCGTTCCATGGAACGATCTATCCACAAAGTATCCACAATAAACAAACGAGAATATTCTCTCGCATCATTCTCACGAAACACGAGGAATATCATCTCGGGCGAGTGTGCGTTGAGAAAGGATGAGGCGATCCAATGGTTGAAAGTTAGGGAAAGCCAGTCGCTGAAGTCTCGAGGGAAATTCCTCGTCACAGAGAAGTCGCCGGAAATCTCTCCGTGTCCCCGGCCCGGTGTATATAGCCGGAGGCCGGAAACCGGGA